GAGAATGCTCTCATCAGAGTTAAAAATGACCTGCTCTTATCATTCGATCGTGGTTGTATTTCTCTGTTAGTGCTACTGGATCTTAGTACTGCGTTTGACACTATCGGCCACAACATTCTTTTGAGTAGACTACAAAATGATGTTGACATTAGTGGAATTGCATTGTCATGGTTAAACTTACCTGACATATCTGACCATCATCAATTAGTAGCAGTAAATGACGAGATATCAAATCGATCACAAGTACAGTATGGAGTGCCACAAGGCTCAGTACTAGAACCGTTGCTTTTCACACTTTACATGTTACCCTTGGGAGATATCATCAAGAAACATGGTGTTAGCTTTCACTGTTATGCTGATGATACTCAGATCTATATTTCTTCGCAGCCCGATGAAACCTTCAAATTTGCAGAACTAACGGAATGCATAGTTCATATAAAAAAAACTGGATGACTAGTAATTTCCTACTGCTAAATTCTGAAAAAAAAAACTAAAACATTAATTATTGGACCAAAAACCTACATTTGTAATAACCTAAAACACTGTCTAACACTTGATGGCTGCTCTGTCAACTCCTCTTAATCAGTTAGGAACTTAATTGTGCTATTTAAGAAGAATGGCATCTACGCTAATATTAGTCTCTTTCATTCTTATTCCGAGGTCACCATAGCCATACGGATCCAGTCTGTATCCAAATCAGATGGTGGATCAGCACCTAGAGATGTCCTCTACAGCCCTGAATGTCAGCAGAGACCATGTCAACTAGATGCGCCCCAGAGACAGATCCCCTGCAAAGACCTTATCACCTCGACAACCATCGGCACAAGACCACGGGAACCAGACAAGTCCTCTGCTGAACTGGATGATGACATCACTGAATCATCAATGAACTGACTTTAGCTAGAAGAATGACTGTTATTGTCTTCTTGCATTATTGACAAACTATTTTACGGAAACTAATTATTTTGTAATTAAAAAATATAAGTTTGCAAAAAAATTATTCTTAAGGCTCAAAAATAAAGAAATTGAAAACAAAATAATTTGCAGTGCGTGTAAATCTTTGAAAAATCATATTTTTCTTTGTGCACTTCAAACACTTTTCATCACGAAACCACAAATGTTGCTCGCTTTTCTGCCGTCTTTTTTTGCGAGTTGAAAAGTTTTGCTTGTGAGTGAAGCTGTCTCTCAGTGGGCTGTCTCTACCCACCAGGATGAAAGGCCTTTTTCTATCGGCTACTCTCGATTGAAGTCACAGGTCGACCACGCCCACTACGTTTCCCCGGAATCCCCGCCACTGCTGGCCGCCAGTCTGACAGAAGAGCGAGCGAGGTTGTATCATGGCGAGCAACAGGCCGTTTACTGGGTAAGATAACTAACTTAACATCTTAAACTCAGTGACAAGTGAACTTAATTAATCTCTCTTCTCATGCTCTCCCATATAAATACATAACGTTAGCTAAGCCCGTCTGAATAGATTTGATTAGCCAACAGTATAGCTAGCTGACAAAGTCGTTATGATTAATTATTCATATTTCCCCTTTGAGCTGATTCGCTCCAGAATGGTGGAGGAGGCGAGGCATGATAAAACATAGGTTATGAGCTTAAAACACTGTCAACCTAAAAGTGTGTGCTTGATAGTCCAGGTTAGAATAGGGCGTGACTTGAGATACGCTGTTATGTCCTTATTTGCTGGCTTGTTTAAATGCAGATAAAGTAGGGGCTTGAATTGGTACCTCTATTATGATTGAAAGAGTCTTTATGTATTTCATGCTTAATGGTAGCAGTGTAAGGTTAATCTGATCTTAGCGAAGAAACCCTAATTTCAGTATTAAAGCATAAGTCTGTTCTGACGAAGGAATCTCAGCTCAGTGGCATGTCCAAACTGTACCATAATGTATTAATCTGCTTTAGTGAAGAAATCACAAAATTGCAGTATTGTTTAAATTGTTTCTGAAACCTCAGTACAAGTTATATCAAGGTAGATTTGAGTGATGCTCCCCTTTCTAAAGCATAAAGGCCTTATAAATTATAATTAGATTAAAGCAATTCATCTACACTTTGACTGTATATATACAGGCCTAGCAACATGGTGGTCATTACTGTGTTTCACTCGCTGAGTGAAACTAAATGTGTAATACTGTACT